TATCCCCTGTGTGCCTTGTCGACTCAGCCCCCCCCCTCCTCTCTTCCGTCATACACGGAGTCCGTCTTATTTGGCAAAAACGCGAAAAAGAAAATGCTAATGCAGTTCAAAAATATAGAAAACAGACCTAGGGATCAACGCCGTTCTTTTGTTATATCCGTATTTCAGATGACGACAAAAAGTGAAAGATGACAAAAATAATCCAAATAAATGTTTTATTACGTTTTTTCACTACGTCAGTATCGATATCTATTATAATTGAACATTTGTTTACGTCATTCTATTATTAGATCGCTCCCTTTCTTTGTACTGCTGCAGAAGCTACTTTGCCAGATAAAGATATCGTTAGATGAAAGAAGATACCCCGCCAGATGTAGAAAGAGGATACTATAGCGAAGGATACCGGATTCAATTAACGCCGCAATTGATTGTGAAATTTTTCGGCCTTGAATTTTCTTTTTACGCATTTTTTCTCGCATATTTCGCACGTATCATAAATTTTATACGCAATGGTGTCGCGCGCGCGCGCGCACGTACGACTACGGGTGAACTCTAGATTACGTTAAACATGAAAGAAGGATGGAAGAGGAGACGGAGAGAAGGGGGGTTGGGAATATCGATCGCTTCATCCATAACGCTTACACCGAGGTTCTGGAGCATAAGCACCACACAAAGTTTCCCTCGAAATGATACCCTCGTACTTGCATCATTTATTCAGAAAACGCGGTGCGGTTTCGGTCACGCCATCACAATATCGATTAGATTATTATTGCCATTAGATGACAGATTATCGGCATTAGACGAGGGAGCGGGATACGCATCAACACGGACAGTAGAAAATTTTTTCTTCTAAAAACTTAACACAGGAACGACGCGACGAGTAGAAAGGATCCCGAGGAAGAGAGTCCGGCCGTCGCCACCGAGCCGTGCGTAATATCGATCCAATATACGCCCAAGATTGCATCGTGTCAACGTAACCGTAAGAAACTTTTTGTTACGCTGGCGAAACGCGACACCGACGATAGTAATCAACGAGCATCTATATATTCCGTTATCCTTCGATCCTACTACACGTCCGATATGCAAATAATCTGACGTATCTGTTATGTCATTGATAATCCAGCAAACAAAACATCATGCACCCATTTGAAATATCGTTAAATTCGTGTGGGGACCGCCCATCAGTCTCCGAAATACTCCGTCGTCAACGTAAAAATCAACGCGTGGAGCGCGATCCGTGACAACCACAAAAAAAAAAAAAAAATACTTTACGTCCCGGAATTTGCATGAAGCGGTCTCGGAAATAATGATTCACCAGGCTCGACAGCGCGCGAGCAGCGGGACCGCCGGTCGGCGATGGCGAGGCTTTGATGTTGGACAAGCAAAGCGTGTCGAGATAGGCGATCTCCAAATGCTGCGCGAGAGGCTTGATCGAATATATAACAAAGCCCGCGCCCGCCCAGCGCGACGCGACGCGAGGCAACGCGAGGCGACGCGAAGTCGAGAATAGCGGGCTCGAATAGCGGAACGGAGGGTCGCGGAGCGTCGTTCCCCTTCGCGTCCTGGCCGCGGCGTGCACCGTTACTCACCGCGAATATCATGTTGAAGAAGAACAGCAGGTACTTGACGCAAGCCATGCCGCCGGACACCATTTTCGTCACTCTCACTGTATGTACCGAGGATCACTGAATAAATACGACACGCGACGTCGGACGCCCGCGAAAGAGATGTGTAGGAATGAAACGCCTTTTTTCGCTGCGGAAGCGGTGAACGCTGCGGCTGCCTCTTTTCGTTCTCGTCTCGGACTGACCCGCCTCCTTTCTCTCTCTCTCTCTCTCTTTTGCCTTTCCTCCGTACGTCAACGACCCGAACTGCACACTTGCACAGGATGCTCTCGCGCCGACTGCTCGCCGTCAAATGCACCGGACAATGTATTTTTGTTGTTGCGCGGTATACACTCAGGAGGCGCGCGCAACCGGCCGACCAGGGCCGTACCTTCGCCGGAGCGAGGCGAGGCGATCTCATTTTTTTTTCCAGAATGAGGAAAAGAACGTGGAAAATTCGCGAAAAGGCGAATTTGGTGAACCGTGGAATCTTTATTATTTTGACGTTATTTCATTAAAAATAATCCTGCTTTTATCTATTGTCCCCTAAGCACACATCGTGCATGTTTCTTCATGTATTTATTAAAATTAAAACCAATTGTAGCGGAAGCTATACGTACAGCTGCAGCTTGTAAACGGAACGACTTGGGGGCATTATTAACAGCGACGGCAGGTTTGACGGTTCAGGATTTTAATAAAGCCTTGAACGCTCGTAGCGTTTATTGTTGTGAATGGTGCTTATATATAATAATAAACACTACAGCGCGTGTATTAAACATAATTAAGAGTATCCCGGACGTACAGGTATTTTATTTGTCCACTTCTCGATCTCCTCGCCTCGCCTATCACCTTATATAATAAGGCTTCTCTGCTTTTCATGATTATTATTCGTCTCTCGTGTAAGCGCGACGTCACGTTCGCTCGTCGATGATCGATGACCGCGCGCGAACGTGCCGGCGTCGCCCGAATGCTACGAGCCTGTGCGTGTCGTCGGTGCACCTCCGTCCAATGCAACGCGAGGTAACGCAACGCAACGCGAGACGACGCGACGCGACGCGACGGCGTTTGCACTCCGGGTGGCGATGGTGTCATGGCGTGCTCAGCCGTGATCGACGATTCCGAGCCGTACAAAGCGCGTACCCGCATTATTATACGCGTATGCATCCCTGCCTGTCCTTGATTCCCCGAGGACGAAGGACTAATCGTCGATCGCGAACGACGAGATTCGCATACGATCGCTCCTGAAACATGAAACTCTAGTCCTCCGTCTCTCGCGTGTCACAACCAACTCGGTCTATATATCTCCTTTTCATTTTCGGCGCCGCAACACGACCAACTTCCGACTTCTGCGTCGATCGGCGATCCGATGACGACAGTATTGGGTGTGTCCCCGACAGATGTACCGACAGTACTAAAAATCTATGGCATATATGCAACAACGTGAATTATAGATTTTCAATAGCTTTTCAGCACTGTCAATATTTCGGAACGTATCAATTGTGTTATACATCCAGTTATTAATAAAGGAATCTAAAATTTAATCGTATATATAGTATAGGACAGAAAATTGAAAGATAAAAAGCGTTCGCAAAATTTTAAACTCGTAAAATTTATAAAATAATTAATTGACTTATATACAGAGTGACTCATATAGAGAGTCATAAAAATGTATTGCATAGTTTTTAAAAGAATGCCGATTATTCTGCAAATAATCATTATTTTGAAAACACGTTGTTAAGCTAATCAAATTATCAGCTTTTTTATATAATATATTTACAAATTCATATACATTCTTTTCGCATTACGTGTTAATGAAAACGATGGATCTCTTCTAAACACAGTATTTAATTCATCTCATTCTGTCCACTCATTACAAAGTATAGCGGCTTATTTATACTTTCATCAAACTTCCCGATTGTCACCTCGTCATTATATTCATTTCATATTTTTACTACATCGTTATAAATATCCACTGTAAAAAAAAAAAGAAAGAAAAAAGAATTGTGCACACCTCTCCGTCTTTGACGCAGATAGCTTTTGCGAGTGAACCGGCCTCACTCACGGATGGAGTTCAGCTCGAACCAGCTTGTTCCATTCGACCATTGTTTGGTCGAAGTCGCCCCCGGAACGCGGAGAGGAACGTGCGCGTTAGCACGAAAAGACGTGGTGCAACGAACGGAGAGACTCTCGTGACGCCCACGTCGTGAATTACGATGTTGATATCCCTCAATACCGTGGCCTCTCTGTCGGCGTCTATTAATACACACGTCACACATGCGAGTTTCTTCAGGTCTACGACTCCGCGCGAGGAATCATAAAGCTGAGAGGCAGGACGTTCTGTTTTCCGAACAGTAACAGACCTCATCTCGGCGAAATTATGTCGCAATTGCTGTCCACACGCAGTCCTGCCCTCCTCGTCGGGGACCTCCTGTTCTCTCGGTATAGCATATTAATGACACACCTGACACGTGACTATATATGTTTTCCGGCACGCTACAAAGGGAAAAGAGATATGCCTCGAATATATGTACTTGACGTGTGCACAAATGGAATATTTGAGAAACGCGCGCCGAAGAGCTATATACGCCTCTTGTTCCTCGCTCGATAATTCGAACTCGATATTGTATTCGCATTAAAATGCTTCTATATCAAAGCACCCCATCGAGGTGGGAATTAGTCTTGACATTTACCCTAAATATGCTTATTGATTTTCTAAATATAACAACGCCTGGGTATATACGTATAAGGTAATGTTTATATTAAATGCTTGATGGACTCTGCTTGTCATCAGGGACACACTTAACGTGCGTGTGTAAAAACACACATATATATATATAGTATTTAATTGTGGCACCTTCTAACAATCTCATACATAGCAATAACTTACTTGGACCTATTAAAAAACAAGAGCAGAATTATAATACAGAGTCGTAATATACTGCAGTTGTAATAATTATGTGTCCCGTTAATTTCTCCTTTCCGCGGGGAATAAAGCGGTTCCAACTGATCGAGCGGGAGGGAAAGAGGTACGATAATAAAATCAGTCAGACGCGGTCGTTTAATTCGCTCTTAATGGGACGATCTTAACAGGCGGATAGATGAATTGCAAAATGAAAGCGACGTGACCGCGCGCGGGTAGGATGAGTCGCGCGCGTTCTCAATGCAGCGAGATACAATAATAGCGTAGCGCAAGTAGCGTAAATTGGATGTGAAATCAGTCGTCCCTGCGAATTTCGCTTTCGCGTTCGTTCCGAGAGTGACCAGGTTTACGCGTTAAATTCTTGCGTGAAGCGCGCGCGTGCGACCGCGTACGGCGGCGTCGCCGTCGCGCCGTGCCGCGCCGCGCGCCGGGGAGATGTCGGCCACGTCAGACCGTGCACAACCCTCGGCCACGGTAGCTAAATATACATGAATATAAAATACGCGGGGCCGGAGCATGCGTGCTCGAGGCCTGCCTCAGGGACACGGCCTCGTCGAAGCACTCCGCGACACGCCATAGACAAGACAACCCTTCGGACGTAGGAGAATTGGAGGAGCAATCCAATCACGAGGAGAGTCGCGAACTCCGCTTCTCCGTCTTTCGTCCCTATAGAAGAACCGCAAGGGTTCTACACGTAATTACTACAACACGCAAGAGAAATCAGAACTGTACTACTATATTTCTGCCGGCCCGCGGTCAAATGAAGCATTTACGGCGGCGTACAAAGCCGCGCCCATGCGAAAAAAAAGATTTTATTACACGATGGAAAGAACGGCTTTGCTGAAGTATACGGAAATTAGGTCAGATCCGATAATTATGTTGGACCATCAAAATAATTCTGTAGGACGCGCTCGAGCATAATAATAATGCTGCAAAAAGTTGTGAGCTCCAGCGATCAACTTAGGATGTCCAGTAATTATTTAGATGGTCCAACGTAATTATTTTCAATTCAGTGTCTAACTATAAACTTTTAGATACTTCAGCGAAGCCGTTGTAATTCTTTCCGCATAATGCTAGCTCGCGCGAAGCGAGAGCAGTGTTAAGTGCCTAATGCCTTTTTTTAGAAATGTTTCAAACAAGAGGGAAATTTTATTAGCGGGAGAAACGCTTAGGCCCGTTCTACAATACGTCGTATGTCGGGTCGTAAACCGTAAGTCGTAAGAATTGACCAATCACAGTTGAATGTAAGAAGAATATTCGATTGTAATTGGTTAAATCTTACGGCTTACGGCTTATGACCCGACATACGACGTATTGTAGAACGGGCCTTAGACGAGAGAATTATCGAACACTTAGATATGTTGCATTATATGTTGAGTAAGACTTTTCGCGGAAAGATGTAGGAAAAGAATTTAAATTAACATTATAAGAAATTTTATTATTCTTTCCTTCTTGCTAATATAAAAATGTTTTTACGTTCCGAGCATATTTTTTCAAGGCTTATTCCTCGTTTTACTTATTGCTCTAATTTATTATTATTATTTTTTAATTTCATCTTTCTTCATTTTTAATCATCTCATAGTCTTGTTACATAATTTTTCGAACTTCAACGTCGTGTTATGTCTATAGACGCTGACAAATGTTTCCGTCGCGCTACATTTCAATGACAATACAGATCGTTTGGGTTCCAACGTGACTAACTGCCTCAATGTGGTTTGAATCCATGTAACAAAATCATATATTATTACATACCACACGTATACATATATACCGTGCCATCATATTTCTGACGTAACAATTAATATTAAAAGCGAAAAAAAGAAACTTCTATCGAAATTGGAAGCTTCAAAACATGAATTGTAAATATAATATCTCACCGGGCGAATAACAAGGGAAGGTAAAAATAACTCTTACATTACAATATCGCTGGAGCTCACAAGGGAAGGTAAAAATAACTCTTACATTTATCTCGGCGCCAGTCGGAACAATCGTCGACGATATGGGCAAGCCATATACCTACTTGTTCGATTTTAGCTTTCAGCAACGAAACAATACGCGCCGCGCGGGGCAAGATATAAGTTGGTATACGCACACGTATATATACCTACGTATCTGGCCCGATTTTGCCCCGCTTTGTTCCACGATGGTAGGGCAGCCCGCCAGAAGATAATGTAAACGGATATTTGTGTCACAGATTGATCGCGGCATCATTAACCGATCATGCGACGGGTAATAACTCGCGTTACGGGGACGCGCGCGGTGAGATATGTGTCAAGTGTTACCCTTGAGCACTCGGTTATTGAATATTATATTAGCCACGTTAGAGGATCTGCTCCATATTCTACGCCTCAATGGTCTCAATTACGGTCTATAACTAACGACGTGGCCGAACCCAGGCGTGTTACGTACGGAGGCCGTCGAGGTATCGTCGTGTTGGCGTACGCGTTTATCAAGTTTCCGCGAAGAAGACACGTCACGCGTACGCAAAACAAACACGGAAACGAAACCGCGTTCGAGCGATGTTATTACTTTTCTCGCAAAGTTTTCTCGAAGAATTTATCTCCTCGCGGGGGACAGCTTTTGCCGAGCTTCACAGAGCGCCGTAAAGCATGTTTATGAGCGAATCTTAAAATATATTGGCAAACGCAAAATGATTTTAAGATGGAATATAAAAATATACAGCGCGATATGTTTATAATCCAATATTTCGCTCCGTAACGGTGTATTTATTCCCGCTGAGTCGCGACTCGCGTTGCATCTTATCCGGAGCGTTTTTGGCGATATTGCTTGTTGAAAACTGAAACGCCTTTCTCTTCCGAAGTTTAATGGGACGTTTATTATTTATCCATATACCTATCTTTCGATTCTCTTGAAGCGCAAATGTTATCGAACTAATAAATTCCGCCTGAAATTAATCGAGAAATTAGACTTCCATCTGTTTGCATTTCCGAGCTGCAACTCGTTTAAAGCATCTTTTCATTTTATTTATTCATTAATCAGGCCTCACTCTGGTTTCGAGAAGAAATTGTTTTCGACGATCAGCGTTCATCGGAATGTGCACGAATCCACGTTGCGAAACGCCCTGCATATTTGATCGAAAAATCATCGAGAAATCTCTCTCGAGTTTCGTAACCTCAATCGCGCGCACGCACGGATCGGCGGCAGGTGTACACGTGTGCCGTACCAGCAACAGCTCGCCGCCGACGTCGATGTATTTCGGAACGAATTACTGCCGTTGAAGCGAGATTTCGACCGGTCTCCGCGGGTCTCCGTGTCGCGCCGATACGCACACGACGAGCGCGCGCACGTATATACACACACGGGGCACGCACGCAGCGGCCGAGTAGCAGTCGTGAGTGTGTCGCATACGTGTAACGCTGCTCTCGGCACATGCACATCGGCGCCACCCGTCGGAACGCGAGTTCTCGTAGCTGAGGGGCCTTTTTTCGCCGCGTTTTTCGTTGCTCCGGAGTCGCGCAGTACCGCTCGCGACTCGCCCTTGATAGCAGATTGTCCCGTGCGAAGGAATTCCGCGAGGGAGACAGAGAGAAAGAGAGGGGAGGAAAGGAGAGAGGAAGAGAGACGGAGATAGAGAGGGAGAGAGAACCGCGTGTGCGTAAATCATAACCGACAAAATTCTCCGACAATGGCGACGACGCAGCTGAGTCTGGCACCGAAGACCATCAAGTACTTGATGTTCTTTTTCAACCTGATCTTCGTGGTAAGTGTAAGCGGCCGACGATCAGCTGTCGTCGCCGACATCTCGCGTTCCTTCTGGAACGATGAGCTGGCGTGGACCCGCGCGATTCGATTGCGCCGCGAGCTATCGAGCCGTCATATCGACACGCTTCAGCGCGACCGTTGAAAGCCGACGATTACGATCGACAGGCGTATGTCAGAAGCCTAACAAAAACATATTTTTTTTTTTTACGAAAATGCGTTTGTAAAGCCATAAAGTGAATATTAAATAAGATTAATTGAAATTTGTAGCATTTTTATCACGAGCGCTAAGGTTGGTTGAAATAGTTGCAGTTAAAAAAAATCGATAAGAAGTTAAAAGCTAAAAAAATCGATGACAAGCTGAGAGCTTAGATGAGAGCTAAGCTCTCAGCTTCTTATCAATTCTTAGTTTAGCTGAGAAGTCAAATTTTAGCCGAAAGTTAATTTCAATTAAATTTTAGCTCTCTTATTTTAGCCGGAATTGTCTGCAATAAACGCGCGTTCAATAGTATATCTTAATCAATTTTGATTTATGTTTGTTTCTATACGTGTCTCGCGAATGTCAACAGTCAGTCATGCACACTGAAGTGCGCACATTGTTGAGATCTTGAGATTGCGTCAATAGGGTCACGTGGCTCAACAGGAACCGGATTTAAACGATTTATGCGCAAACATAAATCACGTTGTCCGCAAATATTTGCTGAGATACAGCGGAAGCATGAAATTGAAACGTGAAATTTAATTCGGATGCCATTAACAAATATGGAGCATGTATGATGCCCGCATATTTGTGAATTATATTTCATTGTGTTGACCTTTAACATTTTGATGACGCGATCGTTGAGTTATCTTGAATACTTCTCAATTTGGTGTATACGGTAGGTAAATATTGCCGGTTGAAATTAGCCACAGCAAACATTTGTTTGGAAATCCGAGTGGAAAAACACTGTATTGACAATCTGAAAAATCACTGCGATACGAAGCAGTAGTAGAATGCATTCAGAAAAACGTATAATCGATTTTTGTATATAGAAAATGAATGGCAGTTGATAAATATAGCGATGTTAATATCAATAACAACGCAGCCGTAGACTTTTCCTTAATTAATTATTAATATATAGGCTCGCTATTATCGAAATTAAATCTTTAATCGCAGGTTCTCAATGAAAATGCCGGACATGCCGTATATGAAATGTTTCTGCGTCCAAATACAGATTCCATTTAAGTGCGTTGTAAGTCTGATATGAAATGAAATTAATTAAACGTTCATCGATGATTTATTCATCGAGTGGACTAGCACATTCATCGGGGAAGATCGTGAGATGAATCACTGTGAGAAATCTTACAAGAAAAGAAATAGACGAACGTAAGAGACATATCCGAGAATCTCTATCGCGTTATCTGCGTTCCTTCTCAATTTTTTCGAGCACAGCGTGACGCTAAAAACGAAGGGCCACCCTCGGTGCGATCGATAACAGAAAGCAATTGCACCGAATATTGACTTTTACATGCTGTAGCCGCTGTAGAATGAGGCGAGAGTCAGGCATCTTTTAATTTCAGTTAGTTTTATGAACTAATTAGATTGCTCGTGCTCAGTATTAAGGGGTCTCACCACCCCTGAGATTTTAAAATGATACTTTGAGAGAAGTACCAAAAAAATGTATTTTTATTTTTCTTATGTGCCGTCATTTTGTGCATAAAAAAATAAAAATACATTTTTTTGGTTTCTTATATATATACAACAATGTCCTCTAAACAGCTTTTAAATAAAGTTATCTATTTACCCACAAAAAAATCCCAAACTTAGGTATCATTTTAAGGCCTCAGGGATGGTGAGAACCCTTAAGTAATTATCTGTGAGCATTATCGATTAAAATAATTTTATTATTAAAAATAAAATTCGTGTTCCCGGAAATATATGTCGTTTGTATTGCGTAGAAGCCAGGATAAGATAGACAGTTCAATAGTGGCATTTTTAAACGGTTATTCAACATGCTCGAAATGAACGTTGCGCGTTATCGGTTTTAATGATAGACACGTTATTAATATTGCGCTGCACACGTGCACACTTGTTTCTCCATTTTTTTTATGAAGGTTTATTTGGATTAATGCTTCTTTCCGATTGTAATTTCGATATAATTGTTGGTTTAATTGATCGCGCAATATATCACGAGAGTATTATTCCTTTTACTATATAGATGCTTAATATTGAATTGCTGCAGGTATTGCTGGTGTAATTAATTTAAAAAAAATGTCATTTTTGCATTTTTCATTGAAAGTGTAGGTTTACTATGTATGAACGATTGCATTCTATTCGAAATGAGGAAGAAAAAAAAATTCGCTGCGGACAGGATTCGAACCTGTGCGGGTAGAACCCAATGGATTTCAAGTCCATCTCCTTAACCGCTCGGACACCGCAGCTGTTGGCAACTCCCTCCTATTTGTACGACATACCGTACGCGGACGTAAAATTCTATAAAGTTGACGTGACAAAAGAGATAAACCTGCTCATTTCTTTCAAATCTATCGATACGCTGGTTACGTGCCACATTAATTACAAACAATTGCGCTATTCAACTGATTGCGCAATATTGCGAAATCATTGTTTATCGTTATGAAATCATTATATAATTGTTGTCGATTTTTACTGCGCGATCGATCCGATTACGGATTGTATTCCCGATCCATTATTTTATCCATGGAAATACATCACCGTGAATTATCCTCAGATTACAGGAATAGTGCTGCTATCGATCGGCGCCGTCATCCATGGAGTCTACTATAACTATCAGCATTTCCTTGACAACAGCTTCTTCTCTGTGCCATCTCTTCTCATAGCCGTGGGCTCCATCATCTTCATCATCGCTTTCTTCGGATGCTGCGGAGCCGTTCGCGAAAGCTATTGCATGATTATAACGGTAAGGATTATAACGTAAATACTTTGATGATATATTTTTTTCTTATTTAATATACACATTTCGATTACGCTTATTTCTTCATAAATAAATTAATTATTCACCTTTCATTCCACGTGTTAAAAAAAACTGTGCGCTTATTGTTAACTTATTGTTTTATGACTTAAAAATCGCGTATATACTATCGCGTATTACTTCAGAATTCTTTTCCAGTCAAGATAAAAATCTCATCGTTGCGTCATACGCATTCGTTTATTACTGCGGCTCGAGTCGCAGTATGTATTTTGACGCTTAATTAGCAAATAATCATTACTCGGCTAAATCGATAATAACAATGATAACGAGCTATCCGGTAAGCAAACCGTCTGCAGCACGCAGTTACATAGATTGGCAGTAAATTGGATCGGAAACTGCTAGCAAATTGGCATCAATTGTACTTGCATTAAGATTGTGTTTTATCGATAGAGCCCGCTGACATAATCTGACAGCCGATTGACGGCAAAGTTCGTGCAGAATCTGTCAAACGCAGATTCTGTTTCATTTCTGCCGCCAATCTGCGTCAAACCGCATTGCAACTGTATGTCAAAGATTATTGAATTTCTATTTAATCTACCATCATGTCTTGACGCAATATTCATTGTTCGCCAGCGTTCTGCCAGCAGCATTGTATATGCCAGATCCTCTATCAAATCTGCAGTCCTCCTTTTAACAAAATTTGTCCGAAATTTTGCAAAATCTGTTCTCGACATGCAGACGATTTTGGCTGTCCAGGAATCTATCGCAGGCGCATCGCGCCTAGTGTCTTCCCCCCCGTGCGCCTTTTACAACCGCGGAGGAACAGCCTGTTTCAAAATATGACGTTCATTCGCCGAACGTAAATGATTTACGCCTCGTTCGATCGACCGTACCTGGAGCGGAGCTCGCCCAGGTGATTGCGCTTCCGATCGAGAACGCGCGTCACCGACGAGAATCAATCATGACGCGTATACCGCGTGCAACGAAAGCGGACCGTTATCGTGACTCGAGAACATTCACGGCGTTACTTTCGACGCTGGTGTATTCGAATTAATTCGAGATTAAGATCTCTCGAATATACGGAGCGTCGTCGCGCGGGTTTTCGACCGACCTGTACGCATGCGAAAAAAAAAGCGCGGCCACAAGTCTGTCCATCCACGATACCGTCTCCCCCTCGTTTCCATAACGTAATGGATCATATGTTTTGTGCGCGAGGTATGTAATTGACATGTGTGTGTCCTCCCCGTTCCACCACCGCCGGCCCTTATTCCGGGAAAATTTATACTCTCCCTCGCACGCAGACGAGGGCGGGCGTGCTTCCGGCGTTGCTTTAAAAAATTGACGCATACGCACGGCGAGAGATATATATTTCATAAGCCTCGAGATTAGATTAGCTCCTATCGCGTTTCCTAGATAGATTAAAAAAGAAAGTACATCAGTACCTAATATAGCAACTGGTTTATCCCAGAATATCCGTAACGATTATATGCTGGAGATGATCGTGTATTGTCAGAAATCTGTCGAAATGTAATTTGAATTCCTTTTGACGATCCTTTGTCGTTTGCAGTTCTGCACGCTTCTGGCTGGGATCTTCCTCCTGGAGATCATAGGCGGCATCATGGGATACGTGATGAGGGCGCAGGTGGAGACTATTGCCAAGCATAAGATGCTCGACACGATGCCCAAATACAACGACAGCCAGGAGATCAAAGTCGTCTGGGATAATCTACAACGAGACGTAACGCGCAATTTTATATACAATTATCATTCATATATACGCGCGATCGCGTAATATCCTCGTAAAATGACGAGCCACACAAGTGGTTTTGCTTTTTTCCCCCTTTCCCGACGGCGGCCTTTGTTATAGAAGTTTCTCGCGCTTCGCGTCTTCCCCAGTCGTGGGAGCGACCCGGTCGTCGCGAGGATATCGCGGACGACAGACGACAGGGATAATTTCAGTACCGGGCTCTAATTTCTCGTGTGTATAATATATGTTTGTGTGTATGCGTACGTGTGGTAGCTGGCGTGCACGCCACGAGGGGCCGGGATAAATCGATTTTTCACCGGCTTCCTTGACCACTCTCAACGATCTACGAAACATATATGCTTATGTATGTACATATTATTATGTATATATATTATATATGTTATATTATATATTATATATGTATATATAATATATATAATATATGTTATTTTGTATATATAATATATTATATTATATATTATATATGTACATATAATTATTATGTATATACATATATATTATTATGTATATATATTATATATATAAATATATTTAAATATTTAATATGTATAATATATAATTATATATACAAAATTTTTATAAATATATTATATATAATACATATAATATAAATAATTTAATTATTATACGATGGATAGCGAAACACACACACACACATACAGACACATACACACACACCACACCGAGAAAGAGAGAGGATATATGTACATTATATATACGTGAGCGTGCCATGGAATGTATGTATAAATATGCACGAATTTCATTAGGACTGCACATCTCTGTATTTGTGTGATGTGTTTCAGCATGTTAATCGTGAATTTTTCTTTTATAGTTCGAATGCTGTGGCACGATCAACGCCACCGATTGGTTGACGGAAGGAAAATTACCGGGACCGGGTATTCCGATGTCGTGCTGCGATGATACGATAGGTGCTATCGGCACGTCGAACTGCACCGAGACGTCGCTGAGCCTGCATCACACCGGATGCATGGAAGCGTTCGCGATTTTCGCAGAGAGACACGCGGCCAAGATAGCAGGTGTCGGAATAGGCCTTGGTGTAATTCAGGTACTTTCATCAGTATTATATTGGATTTTTTTTCGAACGTTGCGTCGTAGTGTTTTGAAGTTCCGATAAATATTCATCCAGAAATATTTACGTTTTATTGATGCAAGGATGGGATAAATTAATGTTGCAGCTAGTAGGAATCTCCTTATCGTGCTACTTGGCCAAATCAATCAAGAATTGTTACCAGACTATGTAGAGCGCCATACGAACATCAAACGCATCGGAAGCAGCGTTACATTCCTAGATGACGGTCGATCGGGATTTCCATTAGGATATAGGAAGTGCATCTGATAATTTGATCTGATAATTGATCTGATATGCTGCATGAACACGTTACTAAAAGAAGGGTGATAAATTACTTTTGCTACATTCGATGTTTTGCATCGCATTATATGAAGCGTGTTTTTAATAAAATTTTTATATCGCGAAGTGTTTTTGCGACAATACGTTTATTATTTCTGTTTATTAAAATATCTCTGCACTAAGAGAAATTTTTGGTATTTGTAACTATAATTACAAAACACTCATCATAATTATGATTTGTAACTATAATTTTAAAGTACTCATCATAATTATAATTATTATTTAATATAATGTTAATAATAATTATATGTCTAATTTTATTAACAAATATATATAGTTGGTATCAACAAATTTATAGAACTGAAACTTAAACCATTATAGATTATAGTTATTACCATAAAAATGTTTGCAATTATCATTATTTAACTATAGTTTATAATCATTTTTAGGGCCAACCATATAATATGGTTGGTCCCAAAAAATGACTATAAATTAAACTTAAATAATATGCAACCATTTTTATGGCAATAACTATAATGTATTGTTTTTGTTGATATCCATTATGCATATATTTGTTGATAAAATGATACATATAATTATTATTATTAACATTGTAGTAGTAATATTCATAATTATATAGTACTTTGTAATTATAATTATAAATATCAAAAATTTTTCTCTCAGTGTACTTATCCCTGTAGAAGAGTGTACGTAATAAATTACTTTTGCTACATATGATGTGTTTTGCATTGCACTATATGAAGTGTATTTTTAATAAAAAGTTTACATCGCGAAGTATTTTTGCAATGCGTTTATTATTTCTAATTAAAATATCTTGGTAATCCAATTCGCGTTCTCTTAATTGCACAAGAATGGAAGAATAAGATATCTGTAATCATGTATTTTACAATAAAATCTCTTTTTACATTTGCTGCAAATTTTTTTTCCGTGAGTCTTTACAATTTATAAATATCAGACAAAAAAATTGCAGCACTCGCTTGTTTCTGAGAATCATGCACGTGCGTAAAACACACACATACATATACAGGGACACGCACACCGAGAGACACGAAATTAAATTTAATCGTTCGTATATGAGTCATTGTCGCGTTGTTTTCCCCACGTGCAAACGTAGCAACGAACATGAGTGAACGCCTTTTTTCATGTCCATCGACTTTAAAATTTTAACTCGATATATTTTATATTAAATACATGTGTATATATATATGTATACACAGAAAGAATTTTATTTTAAAATTTACCCTGAAAATCATGTTAATTGTGGGACAACATAGCATTTCGGCGAATTTTATGTGAAAGAGATTATCACTATTTTTTTTAAATATATATATAACAAAACAAATTTATTGTAGTGCACAGTAAAAAATCAGAGAAAATCACATAAAATTTGTCAAAATACTAATATATATGTTGTCCCACGAACGATTATAATACATGATTTTCAGGGTAAATTTTAAAAAGAAATTCTCTCTTCGTGCATGCTATAATATATTAATATATTACAATATATATCATCTATATATGCATATAATATTTTTTTCAAAGTGCATGAACATATAAACATAGTTCGAGATTTAACACCGAGACGTCCCGATAGACTCTGCTAAAAATATTACATATGTATACATGTGTGTATAATCAATATATGACAAATGACAACTTACATCAATAAATATTCGAATATTCATTTGCGCACTATTAGTGCCATATATACCTAGTTCTATAAGTTTATCGCTTTGTCATGTTTTTTCGCTATCGCGATGACTTCCTTATTTCCTCCCACTCTTTCTTCTTTGTTTCTCTCTCTCTCTCTTTCTCCTTCCCCCCTCTCTCTCTCTCTCTCTCTCTCTCTCCGCAGCTCCGCGTCTAAACAAACTCAACGCTCACACTCGCATGGCCTGGCTTGCGTCGGTATATCGCATGGTATCGCATCGCATCGTATCGCGCGAAGAAGTTGCCGTGCGCGATCGTGCGCTTTCGTGGCTCGTTATCGGACGGTGCCAATGCCGTAGAGCCTGCGAACCGGCGCTCCAACGTCGGCATCGGCAAACCGTTTGCCGTAAACGAACTGTGCTGAAGGTGCGGGAAACCGCTCGCTGTGCATCTGCGCCCGGGAGGACCCATCGCGAGGCAAAATGGCGGCTACGCACTTAGACGTCGGCCTTCGCTGCATCAAGTACTTGCTGTGCGCGGTCAACTCTCTTTTCGTGGTCTGTACTGTAATGCGAACGGCATTTTATATCGTTCTGTATCGCGCCCGCTCGCAGAGTAAAGCTGTCAAAATTTCCCTCGCACCGGTGATGCGTTCTCGCGTTGACCGAAGGACAATCGCGCCGACCGCGACAAGATCCTTATGTTTACCTATCGACGTCGCTCTCTGTTTTGAATCTACGCGTATCGATAAAAAAAAAAAGAGGAAATTAATAATAGAAATATCGACTTTTCGATTCGAGGAATTGTTGACGATCTCGGAAGACGAAATGAAATCGCGAGCTCGAGGCAAGATTTGATTGTATTATTCGAAAGAGATATTTTTAAAGATAATGTCCGTGCATCATTTTTCAATTTTTCAAATACGCACGAAATCATCGTCATTAACTTCGCGACGAATCGCGCGTTACGCTTATCGGAAAATATTGCGACGCAAGTCCGAGTACGTGCAATTGCGCATTGTAGGCCAGGTATCCACACTTAGACCATACGTATCATACATTCATCCATAATTATCGATTGCTATTATATACCGACCGTAAATGATGTGAAAAAGGAGGCTTCGATATGCGGTGCCTCCAATTGCTATAACAACCTGTTTTTCATAAAGATAAAGCACTTGTATGTATACGCACTTTGCCAAAATAAAACGAAATTTATCTTCATGTAATATATTAATTTAAATATTTATGTGACATATATAAATACAAAAAATATATAAATATATTATATAAATATTTAAATTAATATATTACTTTGCCAAAATAAAACGAAATTTATCTTTATGTAATTTATAAATTTAGATATTTATATAATATATTTAAATATAAATAAATTATATATTTATATATTTTTTATATTTATGTATGTTATACAAATATTTAAATTAATATATTACATAAAGATAAATTTCGTTTTATTTTAGCAAAGTGCATATACTTCTTTATTATCTAAAAATAAAAAAAATGATATATATATTATTTATTTATGGTGTAATATATCATATATGTTACACAAATTCATAGAAAGCGTGAATCTACAGTATATGTCGCATACCAACTATCACGTTTATCAATTTTTTTCAAGATATTTGTTATCGATACCAGATGTTAGCGCACATAACTGATAACATAAATGGCGATTAATGTCGAGGAAAAAAATGACTCAGATATTTACGTTTCGCGTATACGTGGCAAGTGTTTTGCCGTTCTACGTACGTGTTTGCGCGGCAAAATTTAAAAATCAAATTTGTCGTAAATCGGTTTCATAAAACGATTTAGTAACAATTAGATTTTTTGAAATTGTAATAGTCCAAGCCTCGGCATCGATAAAATCTTTTTGGTGTTAAACAGTCAATTTGAGATAACGTATCTGATCATTTACGTCATTCATGGTCAAAATGAAAAATATATATATATATAAAACAGGAATAAAATAACGCGAACGATACGGAGGGGCGGAAGGGCGAGGCTCTCCCCCCCCATCGAGATCTCATTAATATCTTTTATTACGTCCTTTGTTCTGTCGGCTTACGGAGAAGGCGATATGGGCCATGAAGTTTCGAGTTTCGTTGTTAGAGAGAACGGCACTTTCGAACTGCGGTCGATATCACATAGACAAGGCTGTGCACTGCTGAATTATTAGGGATGGATGAACCTGTACAGCTGCACAACCCGATTAGCGCTGTGTATATCTCTCAATTAAACAAAGGAGCAACAATAAGAGCAGCGGTTTTCTTTCACGATTCGTTACTTATCGATGCGGAATGTGCAGACAGCGGCATATAAGATTATCGCAAACAAATCGGCAATAAATGATCAATTCGACAGAGATTTATTGCCCGGTGTATGGAAACATTTATAAATTATTCTCAAGCGCGCATGCAAATTCTAGCTTCTTGCTGGATGTGAAGGAAAACACCTGGAAAAGGCAGTAGCTTTCTAGCGAGACCTTGTCTCGACCTTGACATCCGAAATCTCGTATCGACGATACGAAGGCTCTTTTATTTCTCAAACAGACAAAAAGCAATATCAGGAAAATATCGTCATGTACGTTGTGTTCGCGCCTATTCAGGGGACTTTGTGAGACTCTTTTTATCAGTAGAGATAAATTATCTTCACAATCAATGATGTCGCGAGATACATCGTATATGATTTTAACAAAGCAGGATACTTCGACGCGCGTGAGTGTGGAGCGAAAAATGTTTAAACGCAGACCGGAGCAATGGTCGATCGCTCGGAGCGACCAAACAAGATCTTGTTTGATCTTTGATTCCGCTGTGATTGACAGGAACAAAAATAAGTTCATGATACATCTCACGTTAACATCGATATCTTATCCGAATGCGTTCGTTTGTTTAAGTTAAATTAAGTTTTTAAAGCCACTCCTTTATCTGTGATGTATTATATATCTCGACAATTATATATCTGTACCTCAAAATGCACATTTGAAACAATTCCGTCTTTTATTTCGGGTCTGCAATGAGAAGACAGACTTACGCAGACGTGTAGAAAGCCACAAGAGGAGCGGCTTGTCGTAGGAAATTACAGGTTCGCTTTGTGGAACAAATAGAGACCGATGGCAACGTGTACATAGCGATACGCTTCACAAAAGTGTCATACCCTCTTTCCAGTCTAAAAAGTTTACATTCGAGCGAGGACACATGTATTATATAACTAATGTCAGGGAAACCGCGTATTACGGAAATGATCGAAACAGTATCTTACATACAATGAACGTACATTACGTTTGGTATATTGCATGTTCACAAATCGTATGCAATACTATACATATTTAAATCGTTGCTATAAGCAGAAATAATACAGGCTGTTCAAAAATCACGAAACCTGAAGATCATAATAAGAACATAGAAATGGAGAAAAGATTCCCATAAAAGATTTCTTTAAGAAATTGAAAAAGATGTGAAATTTTCATAGATATTAATATTGATAATATTGAATAACACTAATTCAAACTTAAGAAGATTATTTAAAGGAATTCTAATACAACCCTTAATTATTAACATATTATCTAGGTGACACTGCGTTTTGTCTAATTAAAATATAAAAAAAACATGCAATTAAATTTTCGCTAGAGAGAAGACTATCGACTGAATTGAATTTTCATAAAAACTGATATCATAATAATAATAATAATAATAAATTGTGGTTAACATAATGCATAATAAAATTACAATATTACCATTTTATTGCAGTTGACCGGGGTGATGATAATATCAGTCGGCACGACGATCTACGCCGTGTATGAAAACTTCTCGCATTTTCTGGATCCGAGCTATTTTTCGCCCGCCACCGTCTTGATCGTGGTTGGAATACTTGTCTTCATAATCGCGTTTATGGGATGTTGCGGCGCGCTCAGGGAAAGCACCTGTATGGTTCTTGTGGTAAGTGACAATCGAATATCTCGTGTTTCTACTCTGTTTCAAATATCCTCTTTCCGATACGTGTACTACATTTATGTATGCGCTTTTTTAGTTTGCAGTCTTGCTGTCGCTTGTTTTGATAATGGAACTTGCCGCCGCTGTTGCTGCGTATGCCTTGCAGGATGGTATTAAGGATCTCCTAGCTGGGAAGATTAATGTAACGATGTATCAGTACGAAAAGAATGAGGAAGCAAAACTCGCAATCGATTTTATGCAATCTAGGGTAAGATAATCGACAGCTTTATGGATAAAATATATTTTAAAAAATCTGTTGAGATAATTGGTCCTACAAATAACATAAAACTTTCAAAATATAATGTATTATTGAGAGCTTTTATAGGGAAAGGAACATTTTGAAAAATAATTGATTGTAATTTTTCTTGTTTTATAGTTACGTTGTTGTGGGTATAACAGCTATCTGGATTGGAACAAAATACCATTCAATAATACGCATATGGACGTACCTGACTCTTGCTGCGCATATCTAGCCGATGAACTTACGGATCGTTGTTATGGGAAATACCAAGACGGCTGTATAAACCGCCTTTCTATCATTGTTCATCGCAGTGCACTGTACATCGGCACGGGAGCCATAGCAATCGCTCTTATTCAAGTAGATACAGCTTTTTTGTTTCCAACTTAATTCTTATCTCATTTCGCGCATGACAAAATTAGGAATTGCTGATATTAGAAAAAATATTTGCAGGATAAAGCGTAATCATGAAAAGTAGTTTACCTAGGTAAAAAAAAAATGATAAATGTTTTTTTTCCAGCTGACGGGAATTATGTTCGCGTGTATGCTTGGCCGAGCTATCAGACGTCAAAAGACAGAAAGAGAGAGACGTCGTTGGGAATTACGAGAGAATCTGGTGAACGGTTATGAACCATTGGGAAAATCGGATCCCGTAACTACATTCCCCGTAGTATACATGTCGCCAGACTATCCACTGAAAGCCGATCAGAAATGTTAATATTTTGTATTGTTTATTTTTTTGTTGAGCTCGCAAAGAAAAATTGGCAAAATTGAGTAATAAGGACAAAAAGAAAGAGAAAAAAAGAGAAAAAAAGCTACTATTTTTTTAACAAAATACAAATACAAAAATGTTTATTAGAACGAATATTTATTTTTGATTCTTTATTATAATAGAGTTCAGTGAGTTATCGTCGAATAGCACAAGGGACAGTACTTACTACCAAATAATGGCCTTTATACTACATATTTTAATATATTTTCTTAGTCATTAATTTTCATATGTGGACAATCTGATTGTTTGCTTTAAATAATTAATTTAATTAATTTGCATTTCAATAATTAAATATTCTGACATTTAAATTCAAATTTTATAATATTTAACTTAATACCTCATTAAGAAATATGTATGAGAAGCATTATATTTTAAAATATTATACAGACTGTTGCACAGGATGTTATTGCTGTACATTTTTAATGCACTGTATATTAAGAAAAAAAAAATAAAATCTATTCTTATTAAAATAGTATTTACATTTATTATGTCAAATGTATCCTTAAGGATTATCACTTTTTTATAAATAAATGCGATATTTAAATTGTTTCATGTTAATATCACCAGAAGAGTGAAGCTTGCCTCAAAATCTCAGAAGCTTCCCTTTGATGTTGTCCATTTTCGAGATATGGAGGCGTTAGTTCGCGATAGGCGAGACAGACGCGTCTCGATGTAACGTCCTGTCGAAGCACAGAATGCTCCCATTTATATCTGTCAAACAAAAAAAAAACCACGTATTTAATATCAATTATATAAAATATACTTTTATCTTTAATAGTTATAAGCAGAATATTATACCTTGCTGGACCATATAGAACCATGAGTGATCTAGCAGGCATTGGTAATCGTATTACCACGTTATTATCAATATTTGAAGATCGTGTTTCATCGCACATGTCCTCTAAGATGGTATCATAATTTGAGACATAATCTAAATTGTATCGCGTTATCGGACCACGATAAGGAGTCATAGTCAGAACAGAATCACCAAGGACGTTAACAGTTACTATCCGTTCTCCCCAAATCCAGCAATCGTCCACATGGGGATCAATAGAGGCGCCTCGTTCAGGATCGTACTCAAGCGAACACTGCTCGACAGTTTTAAAGCCGTGTAACAGCGGTATCTCCTCAAATTTTTTTTGTACAAATTGCGTCGTTTTGGGAAAACCATTAAACGATCCTAATTGCAATTTTCTCTTTTTGAAGTTACATTTTGGTCCAAAATTCTATAAATTAAAACATGTGAATGTATAGAAATGTAAATATTTTTTTTAATGCTTCAAAGAGATATTATACCTGTTTTTTTCTACCACTTTGTGATGCTTGCCAAGGAAGATCATCGAGCGCTTTCATGAGCTCCTCAGCCTCATCTTCCTTTAAAAAATCTAGCTGGGACATATATAATATATATATATATATATATAATGTTAATTATATATATGCTAAAGGATATATAAAGTACAGTAATTACATTACCTTGATGTAAACACCAGGATAATCAATTAGGTTTCCTCCATGATCAGGATGTTTCTTGTATTCGTCTATATCCCATCCAGATGATAATTTGTCACAATATGGACAATAAATGTAACTCTTGCTTTTCTGTAAGATTGCATGTAATAAATACACCTTAAATTAATTAAGAAATCAGGTAATAAATAATTACATGTTTCATAAATTTGTATAATTAAACAGTTTATGTGAATTTCTGTTAAATATATCTTTTCCTCAATTTTAGTCTATGTTAAAGAGTTCATGTCTTTTGAAACATATAAAAGGATACTACAGGCTAAAATAAGGAACAAGAAGTAAATGTATCATCTTTTTACACAAATAACTGCAAACTGGTTTTTCTAGTATTTTTCCTGGTTCTTAGCCAGCTACGAATGGATTTAACTGATAAAATAATATGCAGCACATCATAGAAGAAGCAGCAACTAAACGGTGACATTCTCAGGTGTGTGTTAATTTCATTTATAAATTTCTTAAACTATACATTTTTGGAAAAATATTTGTGTATGAAAGGTAGTGAGTCTAACGAGCAAAAAGATTTTGATTTTATAGATTTTATAGATATTCTATTTTTCGAAGATATCCCTTTTTCAGTCATCTTTAAAAAAATCTCTTTTAAGTTTTCTATTTAATTTATATTGAGATATTGCGTGCGTGCCTATCATATTGCTCTATTTATTAAATTAAAACATTAAAGCCTTCGATAAAATATCATCTTTGTGATAAGGATTTAATAAAGGATTTGATGAAGCAGGTGATCGCTAGGAATGCACAAAATAGAAATAGAAAAACATATCAAATATGATTGCTAATTGAATTAGCTACATCTCCATCTAATATAAAAATATCAATTCATCAAGATTGATCGACAATTGAAAGACATATGTATTAATAAAATAATCAGGGAAGTTCCCGGAATTCATGTTTTATCGCAAATGTGCTGTTGTGTCCTCAATTTTTGGAAAAAAGGATTGCGCAACTAATCATCGGGAATCCCGATATTGTCACGGGGTATCATTGATAGGTTAGGACACTCTCTGCTCTACCTCTAACTCGTTCTGCAGATCCGGCTTAGAAATCTCGTATTCGGTCTCGCAAATCAAGCAAGAGCGTATTCCTTTGCAGCCGCATGGTCGAACGGTTTCCATTGCGTTCCTTTTCCTATTAGATATTAAACAAAAATACGTAGAAACCAAAGAGGTTACGTAGAAACATTGGCGAGGCCAGTGTTGACGAACGTGCCTGAAAGTCGATTCTTGAAAGCAAATTATCGCGTCTGTCGATATATCGATTCGAAGAAAAAATACTTTGTTTTTCATTCATAATTCAAGGAATCGCTTTTACAATTACAATTAATTTCGAAAACAGAAAGAGAGATATTTATAACAGAGATTGCTAAGACAATTATTAATATAAATGTTGTAATTTATTCATTTATTTAATAAATAATAAAGTCGCGTATTTTACTTTTCTTCCGTCATCCTTCTTTGCTTGTGATTAAAAATTGCATTTAAAAAAATCGAGAAGTTAGATTTATTTAGAGAGTCTTACTATCGCTTTGTAGGTCGCAACCCGAGATACTATATTGGCATTTATATATTGGTCTTTCGACGTTCTTCTCATACAGTTGCACACCGTTTTTTGTGCTGTGAGGATGATATCGAAAATCTGCTTCGTACTTTTGCTGGCATTCCCTGCCAGTTTCGCCAGTAAGTATTTTAAATTCTTTATTAATCGTTATTTATCATTTTGTGAAATTTCATAATATTATTTGCGAAATGTACTCCGCTCATTCCTCTCTAGCTATATATTAATGAAAATTTTTTGTTTCACTGTGAAAGAAAAACACTCCGGCAAAGAGAGAAAGAAAATAATAGATTCTCCATTTAGTTGTTAAATAGTTATTTGTCCAAAAGATAGAAAAACATACGCCATAATGCATATGAATATATACATATATATGTGAAAGATACTGCTATAAAATATATAATATATGTAATTGTTTTCCTAAACAATTTTCTATTAAATCAGAAAAGTAAAATGATTTTTATGACATCTGCAGAGAAATCGAATTTTCTTTAGTTTAAAATTTTTGTTCTTTAGCAAAAAAAAACTATATCAAAAATTCATAATTAATAATTAAGATTATCTTTCATTGAATATTTTCGCAGATGTCGAGTGTCCGAATATCATTGGCAGAAACGAATGGACTAGCAACGCTGCCGCTGGTGATGTCAATTATTTAATAGCACCGATACCTTACGTGATAATACAGCATACAGTCACCCCCGAATGTGATTCGCGTGAGGACTGCACAGCTAGAGTTGACAACATTCGCGGTGTTCATATGGATATAAATAATTGGGATGACATCGGTTATTCGTAAGCTATCTCGTTATTACGGTCCTACGGAAATTTTTTCAGTCACTAGAATGCGAATCATAAATCTAAGTCACCTTTATCACCTTATTATTCGTTATTTGATGCTAATAGCTTTCAATTATTTCAATTATTATTTCGGTGAAACGTTTTTAACAAATAACACAAAAAACCAACCAATATTGCAACATTATTTATGTTTTCGGAAATATTTGCAGCCTATTTGGTTACATATACATTTATGTTGAAATAAAATCTAAAAGAACACGTTTCTGTACTTGCTTCTAAAATGTTACCGTTAATTGTTTTATACTTATTACGTCTGTTTGGATTTTTACGATATTAGAGACATATGCAGAAGATACTTCATTATTTGATAATTATTGCTTTTGCTTTTAAAGTTTCGTGATCGGCGGTGATGGAAACGTATACGAGGGAGTCGGATGGATAGTCGAAGGAGCACATACGTATGGATATAACAAAAAATCTATCGGTATAGCTTTCATCGGGAATTTTCAGAGTGAGTGTCAAACGTGATAAATTGTATGAAGCATGTTCATCACTATTGTTTCATCTCAGCGATATTTATATTAATATCGCGATATTTATATTAATATTCTTTTGCGTACTAGAAATTATTCTGGCGATCTTTCTTTTTTCAGACAAAGATGCCCCCCAGAGAATGTTAAACATCGCACATCAATTAATCGAGTGTGGAAAATCCCAAGGTATCCTTCGAAATAGTGTACGAGTGCTCGGTGCACGACAGGTGACTTCAACAGCCAGCCCTGGAGCTCATCTCTTCAGGCAAATTAAAGATTGGCCTGAATGGAGGAACGAGCCTTAGACGGGCGTTTCGGAAGTGGGTGCTTTCGATTAAATCGAGATACTTAAGTTTCGAACAAAATATTCTTAATTGTTTGTTATCTGTGAGCAATAAAGTTATAAAATACGAATTCATTCTCTGCTTCTATAATAGAGCTTGAGTTTTTTTTTTAAACAAGATTTTTGGGGAAACTTCGCTATTATTGTCGTAGAGATTATCGTTTATATTAATCTGTGCAATCTCATTAGGATTATGGAGAACAGGCTGAAGCTCTTTCTGTTCCGTTGCAATCCATTGGTAAAATCAACGAAAAGTATGTCGAATGTAAGACCGTAAGAAATATACGTCAAAGTTCGAGGTAATAGTTTGTGTTTTATTATATTACCTTTCTAGCGAGAAGTCCAGCTCCTGATCTAATATAAAAAGAAAGTTCTTAACATACGTTTTTTTTTTAACGCATTAACATTTCAGAAGAACGCATGTATAGACGGCGCGGAAATAAATCGTGGAGATTGTGACGAATTTAGGAGATGGAACGGTGTGACGTCGCAACGTATATCAATACTATTCAAATTTCATTCTTTTTTTTTTTTCGATTATTAAGAGATCACGTAATTACTAATATACAAATGATACATTATCACCGAGAGTTTCTCTTACACAGAATAAATATATTGCGCATATTAGCGGGTTTTTTCAAGAATGACGCAATCGAGCCGTGCTTAAGTTTTTTTTCTTTTTAATCATAGTTATTATTATCGTTAATATCCATATAATTATCAATAACTACAGTAAAACACAAAACAAAAAAGGATATAGTGATATCTGTACATTCTCCTTAAATGATTAACGTAAACATTTTTTTTGTATACCTTGTAGCCTACAAATAGGAAGAAACTAAATCATAATATTCACAGATATTTTACAAGATAGACGAGGCCCGCCGACGGGCGCACGCGTCGCGTAACGACGGCACAGGGAAATGTGTGATTCTGCACCCGCACACTATTTGACTGGCTGCAGAAGAAAAGAGCGGAGGGGAAAACACAGCGCATTTTTTTTCGTGAAAATAAAGAGAGACGTCGCGCGACACGTGCGCACGTTCGTGCCTTATGTACTTATTCATAGCTATAATATATACGCGTTTCTTGTTTTTTTTTTATATCACCTTGCTCGCTCAATTATACCTCTACACTGTACATATCCACAACGCATCTTTTACACTGTACATGCACACGCTCCGCGAATATCCGCGCTGCCTTAAAGTAATTGTAAACCGCAGGGATGGACGAAACGGTGATGATCACGAGATGTGATTCATTGCCAAAAATAAAATTAACGGATTCGTCGAATCGTCAGTTGTTTATAAAATTAATAGCGGAACGATGAGATAAGAAAAGTAAAATGTATGATCGCGTTTCTCACTCTAGTGTTACAATTATATTCGCAATTGTAAACGACACTACAATTGTATTCACTAGAGCAACAAATATCCGGATAATTAATTATTATCCTTAAAATCAAGAGATCCAGCCTTCAATACTCAAAAAAGCTCGATCCGAAACTGCTCTCAAATAAATCCAATTCAAATTTAAGTGAACAAATAATATGAAAAAATAATTATTCGGAATCACAATCAGTACATTCGGATCGTATTTATAACTCTACTACGCACCGTTTTTTCGAACGAAATCTTAAAGGAAAGAATAAGTTCCTCGTTTCAAAGAAAGACGAAAAGTATCTTAAATAAAAATACTTATAATTTATAAAGTACCCTCACAATAAGAATTGGAACGAACGGATGCGCGTTTCGTCCATCCCTGATACTTTTGAAGATTACTCTCTAGAGGCATGCGTCCTACGCGCAGCAGCATAACATCGTAAATAGATATAAGTTTCTTAATTTACTTAAAATGTTTTTTTTTTGACGGCTTGGTGTGTGATATAGTGTAATCTCTGGTCTATACACATAAGCGCATTTATTATCTCGGACACGAATGCTAAAGAGTCTATGAGTCGTCGTACGACGGAATCGAGGGATGGGGATGTAAAGATAGATGTACACTGCACGTGCAAACGAACAATGAAATGAATGAACAGCAAACGCTGATCGAACACGCTAACGTTCCACTCGTATTCGCTGTTCGTTCGTTTTGTTCGAATATATCTACCTCTTGTAGGATGGAAGTGTAATGTTTGGGGCGGCGTCAATGGTCAATGAGATCGGTCATACTATTTCTCTCAGTATGACAAATAAGCCCCATTCGTCCTTAAATGTGCAGATTGGTATGCCCTAGCTAGCCTGCTGTAATAACGTTAATAATAATTAATAGCAGCGGTAATAGTAGTGGTAGAATAGTAGTAGTAGTAGTAGTAGTAGTAGTAGTAATAGTAGTAGTAAGTAGTAATAGTAGTAGTGGTAATAGTATAGTAGTAATAATAGTAATAGCAGTGGTAATAGTACTTGTAATAATAATAATATTAATAATAATAATAACAGTGATAAGAATGGGTAATGATCAGTATTACCAAAGCCGTTTATTGAAATAAATTTAACGAAATACGCGATTCTCTCGTATACATATATATCAGAAAACCGATTCACCGTTTAATTTTTTTCGCGATATACCAATTTTCCATCTCTCTCTCTCTCTCTCTCTCTCACTCACGTGTATAAGTGTGTGTGTTGTGTGTAAGTTAGAATTGTACCGACATTGGCAACACTGAAAACACTGGTGATAATATTAATAGTAATCATCATAATCATAATGATAAAGAATAAGTAGTAACGTTAAAAATCTTTTTATAAGACATATGACGCTAAGAGTATGCTAAGAGTAATAATAATAATTCACAAATTCGCATCCTGCTGGGTAATTATGATACATACGTAAATGGATAGATCTCTGAATAGATCGGAAATCCTACTCGGGGGTAGCCCAACTTTTCTCATTTCTCTGTGCTAGATGTCTAACATTGTAATTTACATTCTAATTCACGATCGACGGCGGCAGCAGCAACGGGCAGCAGCAAACTATCAATTACAGTAATATAATACATAGTTATTTATATAGAGCAGTATTTATACAAAAACACATCACATACCGCGCGGACCATTAGTCGGGCATCCCCTTATATATGTTTTTACTTTTTTGTCACCTTCCTCTCTTCTTCTTTATACGCAATTATATTATCGTTAAATACTTAAAATCACAGTAGTTATGCCCTCGGTGGCTCGCTGATATAATTTACACAATTTATCATTAATGCCTAGACCTCGCTTAAAATAACTCATGTGTAATAGTGACGAGTGTACGTTAAGGTTCTTCTATTCGTTATTATGCTTCGCAGTCCACTTGTTTATCTAGAGCAACGGATTATTACTGTTTCCCTCTACGGGAAGGACGAGCGTAAGTAAGCGGGCGTCGCGTGACGAATCGAAGGTCTTGTCTTGAAGGCTGGGGTTGTGCCTGACCCGCTTGTCAGAAAGACCAAGAGTGACGTCGGTCGATCCCACAAACGTTGTCAATGATTGACGCGAGTCACAAGCCGTCCGAAGGAAAAGAGGAGAAAAAAAAAGGGGACAAGAGAACGAAACAGCTTGGCCGCGCGAAATTCATCGAAGAGAGGCACGCACGATGATAACCAGGTGCTAACCTCGCTTCACTGCACAACCTCGTGCCTCGCTCCTTAGGCCTACGATCTAAAGATCGGCTTACCGCCGGGTTCCATTTGATTGTCACTGATACAACTCCAAACAAGGAGCTCTTCCTCTTGAATGCATCTCTCTTTTTGTCGCACAACTATGCATGTCAGACGGACACTCCAGGCTTCATACCACATACGAAGCGTCCTGCGGTGCGCGAAGGCGAGAGATATGAACAGATCGTAATCCAGTAGGTCGCTAATCGGTCTCAAACCGTGGCAATGACGATTAGTAAGTGAGCAATTTTTGCAACTCGGTGATGTAGGTCCGGTGCGATTCTTGCCAAAGTTTCGTGTGCGAAATCACAAGATGGGAATATGTGAACTACATATGCCGCCTGAAATAACGAGATAATTTTTAACATTGAATTTTAATCACGTCACTCATCGAAACCGAGAAGATAAATAAGAAATTAAAAGTGCCGACAACGTGGAAAATAAACTAATTGGTATAATAAAAGTTTTGAACTTGATGAAAGACTTGAATCTCGTATATCGCGTGACAATAAAATTCTTATGACATATGCGGAACAATTTTAGTAACATACCTGTTGCGACCCAGGTGCAGCAATGTTTACAATTCCAGCAGCTTGCTTTTGTTGGAGATACATGATGAATCCTGTTTGAAGATTTTTGCTTTGTTGCAGTACATCTACTTCATCACGGCCGCAAGGTAGTGCCAACAGCATGCAGTGTTCATCTTCAGTCTGGAGGGCATCAAATGATATTATATAAAAAATAGTTTACTTCATTTAAAATTCATTTACATGCAGCATATACAGATCCTCTTTTTTTTTAAGGATTTTTTAAAAATTCATCTATACAAAATTTTAAAATACAAATTGTTTTTAATACTGACAAATGTCAATAAATTTAGGATTTCTAACATTGTAAATTCCAGTATGGGGAGATTGCCTGACATACCTGCATCTTTCTTGCTACACCTTCGACTTGGGTTTGTTCCAATCTCATCCTTTGCGCTATTCTCAACGGTGGTGTGGAGCCATCGCTGTTACACGGCAAACTGTCTCTCGCCACTCTGGGATTGCCAAAGACAAAGTGCATCTGTACCGCTGCCTGATCGTTTTTAAGAGCTAATAAACCTTGCCACATAACCGGATGACGTTGGAGTAGCATCTGAAACGAGTCCGCTTGCGGTGGCACCTGAGACGCGTATATCGGCGGGGTGACGACCTGATGTTTTCTACATCTATCCGGCGTAAGAGGTCTACCCATTTCAGGTGGAGCCTCGCTGCCAACAACGGGATATTGAGAACGCAAATGAGCGGGTGGTGGCTCGTATCCGTAGCCCGCTCTAGCGCCAGCCGGTGCGCCGGTTAACGACGGATTACTTCCCGGGTATTGCGATGGAGGTGGTGGTAACGGTCTCATTCCCCCGTGTAAATAGACTTGAGCAATTTGCGGACTGTCGGTAGTACGATCCTGAGGCGTTCTCGTGCCTCGTCTCAATTCTAAAGGAGGACTGTGATTGTCCTCTATGCCGGGCTCGAGTTTCGGGTCTAAAGGTAAGTGCGGAGATCTTGTTCCTGGAATGTGATAAGCTATGCGAGGAGTCGTTAATGCTTCCTGTTGCGCCCGGAGATATTGATACTGGAACATTGGAGAATGTAAGTAGTGCTCACGAACTAGTCCTCCG